TTAGAATAGTTGCAAATCCATCCTATTTGCAAGAATATGCAAATGACGGCTCGAGATACAAGTTCAACCGACTCGGTTATTGCATTCATATTGATCACCCTGCCTGAATTTGTATGAGTGTATTTACAAAATAGTATCTGAGATTGTTGCTAGTTTGGGTCTTGAGAGCTTCCACGATTTCATGCGGCTGTGATTGAGGCGGGTAGATAGGAGGGTTTTTATCCACTTTCCGGCACAGAGATCAAACAGGAGGAGGTGACGTCCTGAAAACTTTCATTAATGAGAGTGTAGTGTGTCTAAACACTAAAATTTCATTTTCATTTTTATCCTAAAAATATTTGTTAAGTTCTTGTTATTACTAAAAACCTATTTATATCCAATTAGTATGGTTAACAATCATAATATAAATTAACTTCATTCAAAATAAATTTTTTGTTCTTGTATAAAATAAATAAACCTCTTGCCTAGGGTGTACACTGTTTCGATAAATTACTGGAGGGTAGTCAGTAGTCGCGCGCTTGGGGAGTGCGATACGTAAGGAGAAATAATTAACAGCGGTTTATGTTTTTGTACAAAATATTCTTGTAAATAGATTGTTTACTCGTGAATATAAACTGTATACTTAGTGTTAGTGTTGTGAAGTGATAATAAACTGTACAAGACTACTTCTTGGGACTTTTACTGGCTGCGCATGAGATTCATCGCTCGGCTACACACTAGAAGGTACGGTCCTGTATAATTCACTTCAAGAGTTTTTAGCCAGAGATGTTGCCCGCTTACGGGCAGATACTAGAAGGAGTTCGGTTGTCTTTATAAAAGCTGTTTCCGAATTTTAGGCTGAGTATGGTACATCGTGTGGTTTTATTCCACTGATTCCACCTAAACCTCTGATCTAGTTCAAAGTCCCTTTCTCAAATGTGTCCCCTTTGTTCAAATGTGACAAATTACATTAATAACTGTTATCAATAGTCAACAGACAACCTAATTAAAATTTTTACATTGTATTTGTTATTGATATCACAATAATCATTTTAATGTTACTCGTATAAATTGTTTATATTTTAATCTATGTGTGGTCACTTCCATCTTTCGTTACATACGTACCTACGTACACACTGTACCCTAAGGGGGTATGCAGAGACGTATTAAGCAGTTATATCTTGGCAATTATGAAAAGGAGCTATTCAAGCGACAAAGAGATGACTATCGCCTTCAAGACGGTGGCTTTGGAAAAGAAAGATGGGAATAGAAAAATAATGGGAAAGTTAAATGTATTTTTCATAATAAAATAGGTAGTATAATAAGACCAGAGAACGCAAGCTCTATGGAGACTTGTTGAAGGAGTCATCAGAATAACCCTTCGTGTCTTCATCATTGCAGGTATGGATGTATGTGTGTATGTTTATGTTTTTTATATTTATAGTATTATATAGTACGTATAATTTATATTTACATCTATATATGTATACCCAGTACATCTGTGTAGTATAACATCTTGCAACCAACTACAATTTAAATAATTTATCTCATTATACACCTGCCACACACAAATCTCTGCATCACCCCAAGGTTGACTGGGAGAAAATACCTATGGCATTAAGTCCTCCTTATGCAATGCATTTGCAGGAAGTATAAATAAATAAATCTATGTGGGTAGTTCTTGTTTTCGACTTTAAGAACAGTTCAAATAAGACATTTAAGAAAAGAATTGGAAAAGGTGATCGAATTAAGTAGAGAAATTTAGGGAAATCCTTTTTTCTTGACACTCCTCAGTCCTTTTTTGATAATTAGTTAATATATTTTATTATGGTCCAGTTGGAGATCAAGCTTTTATGACTAGCTATTATTCATGCTCACAAAACCTTTTTTTACACGCTTTATATTAGCTTCACTTGTATGGTTGTTTGTATGTTTGTAACCGACTCCTTTGGGCGTGATTTTGACTGACTTTAAACAGTCAGAATTCATTCAAACATTGTAGATATATCGAGGACAGACGACAATACACTAATTAAAAAATAAAAAATAAAATATGGTTTTAAAAAACTAAAAATCACGCTTTCTATAGAAAACCAAAGAAAAAAATAGAAAATAAATTTGAAAAAAAGCGTTGGGTGCCTGTTATCAATAGTAAAAAGCACCCCACGCTTTTTACGGAGAGCGAGGTTACGGAGAGGTGTGTCAGAATCGAACCGTCTAAAACCACATGGTGTGCCATACTTTCGCCTTGAACAAGAGGGATCCGGGTACAGCTTTTATTAAGGTATTCGCACTCCTCCTAATACTCTCACGACCCAAACTATCCACAGCTTGCACAATAGGTTGGTACTAGACACAAAAATAATTACCATGTACTATAATATGTTGCCTAGAACACAGTTAAAAATTATTTGTGTAAGTACTTACGTGTTATTCCATTCAGAACAAGCTACAACATCATCATCATCATCATCAACAACCTATAATAGTACACTGCTGGACATAGGCCTCTCCTTAGAAAGGAGGTTTTGGCACCACATACCACGCTGGCTAGACGTTTTGGTATAGGGTTTGTGTCAAGGTTTCCTTCTCTTTGCAGTGCTGTTGTCCTGCGTAGTTTGCTCCCTTAGTCGGCTCTTACGACACCCACGGGATGAATAGGGGTGGTGACATTCCGTATTCTTAATCCGTCACCACACGGATAACACCAAACTACATAGAGACAGATAACTAACATTACTGAAAATATCTGTACTGATTGGTTTTTAAACTATCAACGACGCAGAACAGTCCATTGAGGGAGAAAAGAGGAAACCATTGGATTGTGTTGTCATTTGCCATCACCTGACCCGTCTGCTCACTTGCACCCCTATTCTATATAAAATCGGCGTAAGGGATCAATAAACCCCCGGTCGGAACAAAGTTCCTTTCGCTTTTTCATACAGCATTGCATTTTTTTTTATACAGTCTGCTTTAAACACAAAGTGTCAAAAAAAAGTATTGTTACCCATTGTTCTCGCTCTCATCAGCTCAGCTACGTATGGATAACATAGCAGATTATGCTTCCATGTTTATTTTTTCATGGGGTAGCATCAGCTTTACATGTCGGATTAAAAGGATTAAAATTAATACATCCCTACACTTCTTCAAGCATTGGAACGAAGTTCCTTGTCGTGCGTTACACGCTCTGAGCGGATGGGAGCGACACCATAAAATGTGTAGCAGGACTTTTTTATGTTTAAACCAAACGTATACCAAAAAACAAAAAGAATTTCGTTGCGATCGGGGGTCCATAGACACCTCACGCCGTTTTTTTTTGCTAAAATTTCGAATATTTAATCGCTAAAAGCTTCCAGGCGGTTTGACTATTATAATCATATTTCAACCAATTTACAAAAAACCTAACGAATATACTCACTATTTCTATTTATAAAACTCAATTAAAATTCCGTCAGTAGTTTGAGTTTATCGTAAACAGACAGACAGTCGCAGCGGAAGACTTTGTTTTATAATATGCAGTGATAGTGATTTATTAATGTACCTATATGTAAATCAGCAAGTATGTATGTATATGGGCTGCTGGTTTATAAAAAAGCTGGTTTATATCACATCACATCAACAGCCTTTAACAGTCCACTGCTGGAGATAGGCCTCTCCTTAGAAAGGAGGTTTATATCACACACATCAACAACCTTTAACAGTCCACTGCTGGAGATAGGCCTCTCCTTAGAAAGGAGGTTTATATCACACACATCAACAGCCTTTAACAGTCCACTGCTAGAGATAGGCCTCTCCTTAGAAAGAAGGTTTATATCACACACATCAACAGCCTTTAACAGTCCACTGCTAGAGATAGGCCTCTCCTTAGAAAGGAGGTTTATATCACACACATCAACAGCCTTTAACAGTCCACTGCTAGAGATAGGCCTCTCCTTAGAAAGAAGGTTTATATCACACACATCAACAGCCTTTAACAGTCCACTGCTAGAGATAGGCCTCTCCTTAGAAAGGAGGTTTATATCACACACATCAACAGCCTTTAACAGTCCACTGCTAGAGATAGGCCTCTCCTTAGAAAGAAGGTTTATATCACACACATCAACAGCCTTTAACAGTCCACTGCTAGAGATAGGCCTCTCCTTAGAAAGAAGGTTTATATCACACACATCAACAGCCTTTAACAGTCCACTGCTAGAGATAGGCCTCTCCTTAGAAAGAAGGTTTATATCACACACATCAACAGCCTTTAACAGTCCACTGCTAGAGATAGGCCTCTCCTTAGAAAGAAGGTTTATATCACACACATCAACAGCCTTTAACAGTCCACTGCTAGAGATAGGCCTCTCCTTAGAAAGAAGGTTTATATCACACACATCAACAGCCTTTAACAGTCCACTGCTGGAGATAGGCCTCTCCTTAGAAAGGAGGTATATTATATTACATATACATACATAAATAAATTACACCTACACTCAGCACATCGTGCTCATAAAACAGTATTTGTCCTGAGTAGAAATCAAACCACGACCTCTGATCAACCGAGATTGCTAACCACTAAACCCGCAGGCCTGCCATTGTACAATTTGATTTGATCAATTGAGTTTTAAATAAATCTATACAAATAAATAAAAATTGGAGTGTCTGTTTGTAATATTAAATTAACCGCTTTTTACTAAATGCATATGTATGTTTACACGGTACATATACCAAAATAACATTTTTTACAATTTTTGTCTGTCTGTCTTTCTGTCTGTTTGTTCCGGGTAATCTCTGGAACGGCTATACCGATTTCGACGGTCTTTCACTGGCAGATAGCTAATGATATAAGGAGTAACTTAGGCTACTTTTTTTAGACTAGCTTCGCCCCGCGGCGTTGCCCGCGGTTATAACAACACACGCGGGTAACACCGCGGGTCTCAGCTAGTAAATAAATAAAAGTCGTACAGGTTGTAAATAACTTGAAAATTTTATTTTTTTCCTGACGGTACTAATTTATGAGAATGACAATATAAATTATTGATTTACAGGAATGAGAACATGGCATACTCAGACAGTGGGCCACGGCCTTTAGCCGTGTAACATCTCACGGCAACTTGGTATACTACCCCCTTTTCTATTTTATAAATGTACTCATTGCTGCTGGCTGGTACATCGAACTCAGCTAGTTTGGTGATCGGTTTCTCCTGTTAACAGTTTAATAAAAGTAAATAATTTTTGATAAATATCACTGACAATAGACTCGTATCATGATGTATATCTAATAACCCGTATTTAGAATTGTTTATTTTTCATAATTACAGGTGTATCTTCAGATTTGAATCAGACTAAACGGAAAAATTATTTTGCAAATCGATTTATTTATGACGAAGACCTAATTCAAATTCAAATTATTTATTTTTGCACTGTTATAATGGTGTTGTCAAAGGGTACCAAAATAAACCATCCATCTGCATTAAGGACCTCCTACTTTTATTGCAGTTGGTTGATGAAAAATAATAATAAAACGTTTCTATTTTGCTTCTACATGTAGAAAAAAAAATGATTTCTGCGCCCTCTAGCGAAGACATTCTAAATCATCAGTTAGAGTTAAAGTTACTGTTGAGACTGAACCGCGCCAAGAAAATTTTCCTCCGGTAATTTCACTTACTCGTTGAAAAAAAAAATTATTACTGTAAAACCGTGTGTTATAGTATGTTATAATTAAAATTACATTGTTTATCTTCTCCACTTGAAATTTAAAAAAATAAAACCTCAAAAAATCAAACTTAAAATCAGATTTGTTTCCTTCGAAAATTAAACATTCACAGTTGTACTCGTACTTAAACATTTTTCATTCATCATCATCATTCGCGGTACAATTATAACCAGAAATCTCTTGGCAGTCGAATTTCGACTTATTAAGTTTCTTATTTTATTTCATGACCTTTACTTCTCCTGCATGCCAAAGCCACGACTGTGATTTGTTAGCGGATGGATGATTTTTGTTTAGAATTATATTTTATTTTTGTTCTCATTTGTGTATTTTTATACATTATCTTTAATTATTGTAATTGGTAAAACCGTTATAATTAAAGGAAATGAACAATAAAAAATACTTGATGACCAGTATAGCTTGGATTTCTTTTTTTTTCTTAACTTTAAAACATCACAAACATCAAAAGCCTATATACTCGGTAAGAATGTAGCTTTTTATTGTTGAAAGAATTTATGTAATCAGTTAAGGGGTTTAGGCGTGAAAGCGTAGCAAACCAACAATCTCACTTTTACTTTTATAATTTTAATTTATTTTTAAATTAGGTAAAAAGATACATACCGGTTTAGTTGGGGCGAACACTTCTGTCACCTTTGAGCCGTCTTCTTTCGTTTCGAAATTGACATACAGTTTGCCGTAATTCACTAAGACCTAAAAATAAAAAATTGTTAGAGATTTATTAAGATGGTAAGTTACTGTAGTTGTCTGTGTGGTGAAGGATTAAAAATACGGAATGTCAGCACCGAGGCAGTCAGTACGTACTAGCCGACATGGGATAGTTACTCCGCAGTTCAGTGTATTTTTATTAGGTATCACCAAAATGTGTCATTGAATGTGGTTGATAGGACACTTCGGCATAAAACAGCTTATGATGTAGGGTTTGTTTTCAGGGTCTAAATCCTTCCCTAAGCTTTTATGAAAGTTACTAGTTCTTTCCAAAGAGTGAGTTTTGAAATTCGCTCAAAAACTAATTCATAGGTACGATATTAAGCCCAGGAGAGTTAACTGATCCTGTTATACGAACACTTCTATATTTTGTCGGTGCTATATTTTGCAATTTGTACGTTTAAAAGTGTGGTGAAGGATTAAGAATACTGAATGTCACCACCCCTATTCATCCCATGGGTGTCGTAAGAGCCGACGACAGCACTGCTAAGAGAAGGAGAACTTGAAACAAACCCTATACCAACCCGTTTGGCCAGCGTGGTGTAGTAGGCCAAAACCTCCTTTCTAAGGAGAGGCTTATGTCCAGCAGTGGACTGTTATAGGTTGTTGGTGGATAGTTAATAATTATGTTTTACAAAATATGAGACAAATGTGCAGGTGGGTCGGCTGATGGTAACTTACGCCGTCTTTAGACTCCTTTAACAGGATAAGGAGAATTGTTTTTCTCCGGTAAACTTACTGACTCCTTAAAAAGCAACGAAATAGTTAATAATAACTTGAAACATCACACACACGGCCGTCTGATTCCCAACTAGGCAGAGCCTGTGCTATGGTAACCAGACTGTAGGTAAACATCCTTATGTTATATAAATCAAATCAAAAATCTTTATTTCTTAAAATTTTAAAAATTATTTGAAATCGTCTCCTTTGTAGACTCTACAGTTGTAAATCAACAAACACAATAGCAACAATCTCTGTTTTGTTAAATATTTAGCAAACTAAATATATACGTATCGAAAATCCGTTATGTGCCTGGGCCGATCTACAACCGCGCATTTCCAAGGGGTTGAGCCTCATGAGAAGAAAGGGCAAACAAACTCACGGCCACTCTGTTTTAATCAACAGATAACAATGCAGCATTCATCATTAAATATACACAACATTGTTTTGATATGTGTCAGTATGTAAGTTTTAAGGACTAAAAGGTAAAATTGCAACAAAGAGAAAACAAGATATAAAAAAAGGATGGAATAAAAAAGAAAGTAAAGTAAAACATTAAAAAAAATTGAAAATTAAATAAAAGACCCACTAGCCCACAAAACATTTCCACTACGAAATAGCCTGTGCTAAATTAATCCCAAGCATTCTTGTCTTCCATGTAATCCACAATTGAGTATATTTCTAAACACATACTTATTTATAGATAAATTACACCCAGGCACAGAACACATCATCGTGCTCATCCCAAACCACCACTGCTGTCAAGTCTCCCACCTCTAAAACAACCCTTCTTTTATTATTATTCTCTTCATTCGTATTCCCATTAAATATACAGATAAATTGCATTTTAAATACATTTAGGATTCATACACAAAAACAAAAAAAAATATTAAAATATTGTCCCATCGGTAGTAGTACACCGACCATGAAACTGGTAGTTAGGACTCCAGAGACAGAAACCTCCTCACAATACCTGCCGTATCGAGAAGTTGAAGCTTTCTGAATCAATCTTAAGGGCCAGATCCAGCTGCCTAACGCGAGTCGCTCAAGATTATTATTATAAAATACATGGACTCGAAAGAGAAAGTCGTGAACCTCGCAAAAGAGCGTGATCAGTGAAGTAGGGTCGTCTTGTACGGCCTTAAAACCTATAATGAGGCTTGGTTTGGAGTGCTGGCTTGTAGGCCACCCACACCAAGCCAACTATAACCCGACCGACCCGTCCGACCCCGAGGCCTCAGCATAGTAATCGCATAGGCGACCACTGCACCACCAAGCCAAATCTATGTATTTAGTAATAAACAAGTATGTACATCAGCAACCTGATTACCATAATACAGGATCTGCCTAGGATCAGATAACCACATATAAAAGAAAAAGTAAAAAAAAAAAAAAAAAACATAACTCACATCGTATCCCAAAATTGGATCATCATCACTAGATTCAACTTTGTCCCACTTGGCTACGAAGTATGGAATGCCATTTTCCTGGTGAACCGTTACCTTAAGGTTTTTTGGGGGTGTATCAATTGGAGCCGCAATGCAGAGTACCACTAACGCTAGGAAATATAAAACCTTCATCTTCTGTATTATTTCTTTTAACTGCTTAAGCGTGTTATACGCACTGAGGCTTCAGTTAAAATAACCTGTCCGTTGATAGGACGTTATAAGATATTAACATCATAGATACTAGTGCTTATATTTATAGATAAGTCTTGGTTAATAGGTGCCTTATAGCGACCTCATAAATAGACGCGTGTTTAATAAGCAACTGACACAGCATTATTTATTATTAATGTTTTAATTACAGATATATAGACCAAAAACAGGTTAAGTGTGAGTGAGACTCGTGTACACCCTGGGTTCCCTAAGTACTAGTCTATACAAATATATAAAATTGGAGTGTCTGTTTGTAATATTAAAATAACCGCTTTTTACTAAATGCATATGTATGTTTACACGGTACATATGCCAAAATAACATTTTTTACATTTGTGTCTGTCTGTCTGTTTGTGCCGGGTAATCTCTGGAACGGCTGGACCGATTTCACGTGACTTTCACTGTCAGATAGCTGATGACAAAAGGAGTAACTTAGGCTACTTTTTTTAGATTAGCTTCCCCCCGCGGTGTTGCCCGCGGTTATAACAAACAAACGCTGGTAACACCGCGGGTCTCAGCTAGTATGTAAATAAAAGTGCAAACGAATTTTTTTTATGGTGTAGTAGGCGAACGAGCAGAACAGAGAAAAGTAGATTTGGCCTTTGATGAAAATACTCACTGATGGGGGAAAGTTTCAAAAGAATTTTCTGTGAGTCTGTACTACGATAAAATACGTCGATATAATTATTATGTTACATAAGTTTTTGCAAAGCCGATTTTTGTTTTAAGACAACTGCCCTATCAGGAATACATCGCTTCTTGCGGGGAACTGTAGAAACATACATGAAACGGACACAAAGAACATCCAAACTCAGAACAACCATTTATAGATCACACAAAGTGTTGTCCCATGTGTGGATCGAACCCACAACATCCAGTGCAGTAAGAACTTTAAAACTACGCTATCCGTGCAGTCAAATTGTCAATTTACTTGGTCATCAATGTCTTGTAAAGTATAAAACATATTTTTATTTTTCAGAATTCTGGCTTTACTTTTTCGTATGTTCCGCAATTGTATAAGGGGTTCCTTTTTTTCTTTGGAACTCTCACTCTCTCTCTTTGGACACTCTTAAAACATAGTAGATTTTATCACTCAATCAATCAATTTTTTTTTCATTAAAACTATTAAGTAAATTTGCAAAAAGATTTTTTTTGCATTTTCAACATCACGCTATGATCCTGAGTAACATAGTTTAGATAATGAGTAACATAGTAGAGATAACAGAGTTTGTGGTTTGTGTTCCCCTTTTTTTTTCAGTGCAGAACTCCCCTCGGATACCACCCACCAGTGGGTGATTATGTCGGACTCGAACCGACCAAAAACCGCACGCCGTCTCCAGGTACCAGAAGCCGGGGAACCAGGTATACCCTAGAAAGGAAAGCCCTAGTACCCCGACGTACTTCAGGCCATCTACGGCTTATAAATGAACCCGGATGTTCCCTTCCTGCTCAGAAGGGCACGCGCGCTCCGTAGCGCGTCGCGCCATTACCCACCCTCGCCTGCTTCTTCTAGAGTGACAGATGGCCTCACCTGTCACCCTCACCGGTCAGGCACGAGTTCGACTCGTACCTGACCGGTTTTTTTTTAGGTCAATACTAAAATAAAAACAAAATTAAGAAAATTGCATATCCGAAATTCTTAGTGGGGACAGGCGAAACGGTTATTTCGCTGCCCTACAAAATAGACGCGTGTCAGAGCTACATTGTCGCTATCTAAGAATGATTATGTTATTTACATTACAGAGTTAGCAATAAAACACATCTACATAATGTTTATTGCAAATTGATACAAAAAATATGAAATTGAATAAAAAAAAAAATAGTTTTAAAAAACTAAAAAACACGCTTTCTATAGAAAACCAAACTAAAAAATAGAAAATAAATTTGAAAAAAAGCGTGCGGTGCTTTTTACTATTGACATTTAACTACTGTACTAGGCAAAATATTTTTGCCTAGTACGGTAGTTCATTTTAGTTCTGGTAAAAAGATGTAAAATGATGCTAAGTCTTTTGACAAACTCAGAAATTACGAAGCTACGGCTGTTCACAACGGACTTGAGTAAAAAATTATATTCTTGGTTAATTAAAACATCTAACATTAAACGTAGAAATAGCAAAATAACACTGACGAAGTACTAAGGTGTTTTTACTACAGGTCTAGGTAATGTGAATAATTTTTTTAGCGAATTTCAGTTCTTTCTTCCTTTGAGCCTTTTCTCAAACCAGGGTCGGCTTTTAAGTCTACTACGATGCGGCTGACCTTCGATTTTTTACGTAAAGCGACTGCCTCAGACCTCCAGAACCTAAGTCCTGGGCTATTCTGTAGAAAGACCAATGTCGTATTTTTGAGGGCTTCAACTGTCAGTAACGGCTTAATATACTTTCCGAGACACGGAGGAGTCTCAAAGTGTTATGAATGGTCACCCATCTATAGCCGGACATGACTAGAACTGCTCAACTTTGTAATGTGTTATCTTACTCGGTTACCACTTGCCACGAACCCCTTTTTGTGCATATTTTGACATTGGTTGTTTTTGTTTGGCCCACTATTAGATAATCAGAACATCTAACTTTTAAACGTCATCATCATCAAATCAACAGCCTATAATAATCCACTGTTGGACATAGGCCTCTCCGTAGAAAGGAGATTTTGGCCTACTATACCACGCTGGTCAGACGGGTTGGTATAGGTTTTGTGTCAAGTTTTCCTTCTCTTTGCACTGCTGTTGTTCTGCGTAGTTTACTTCCTTAGTCGGCTCTTACGACACCCACGGGATGAATAAGAGTAGTGACATTCCGTATTCTTAATCCTTCACCACACTTTTAAACGTAGAAATTTGCAAAATATAGCACCGACAAAATATAGAAGTGTTCGTATAACAGGATTAGTTAACTCTCCTGGGCTTAATATCGTACCTATGAATTAGTTTTTGAGCGAATTTTAAAACTCACTCTTTGGAAAGAGCTAGTAACTTTCATAAAAGCTTAGGGAAGGATTTAGATCCTGAAAACAAAACCTACATCGGCTAGTACATACTGACTGCCTCGGTGGTGCAGTGGTAGCGTATGCGACTGCTGTGCTGAGGTCTCAGGTTCGAGTTCCAGGTCGGACCAAATGTTGGTATGATCTGCAAAAGTTTGAGTGTTTTCTATGTATCATATGTATGTATTTACAAAAAAAAAGTGTATTAGTATTCTATCAGTCAATGTAGTTTTCATAGTACAAATTCAGCTTAGTTTGAAGCTAGATGGCGTTGTGTGTCCGATGTTATTATATTATAGCACAAATATAGTTCTCGCGGCGATTAGTAAATGTATTTCTCAACATCAACTATTAAGCCGTGGTTCGGAGGACATGATCACATCGCCTGGTTAGAGGATCCTCTCGTTCGAGTTGGAGGGACGGAAACCACATCTTAACAGATTCAATGCAAAATTCATTTTCATAGGTCATGTAGTTTTTTAGATTTCGCTATTAGATTATTTAGTATAACTTTTTTTAATGGCGATGAAGTTTATTATAAAGTATGTGGTGATATCAACACGCTTCAAAACATTCTCTATTCGCCACTCTAAAGGTCATGGACAACATGACTTTAGAGCTTTGTCTTGTATAAGCTTTGTCTCGCCTCACCCATCTGGTGGAAAAGCACTCTTAAAACAGGATATTGTTATTTTGGTTCTTTATTGTTGTTACTTTGTTTTTAGTTTTGATATGTTTAGATAGCTTTTTGATCTTAGTTTAATAGCAATGAGATGTCACGTCTCTTCACAATATGTTACTAGTGGAGTCAAAGGCCATGTTGATTAGATTAGACTAAAATATGTATGTACATTGTAGCATTATAAATGTCTAAAAGGTGGTGTATTAGGTTATCCCACATCGATATTAGAATTTTTCAGTAAAGCTCGTCATTTTCATAATGCTAAATTTCGTTAGTCAATTTATCCGTGTGGTGATGGATTAAGAATACGTAGTGTCGCCACCCCAAGAGGCCCTTGTCCAGCAGTAGACTATTAAAGACTGTTGATGATGATGATTTTATATTTCAATTATAGCCATTAGTAGTCCACTGCTAGACTCTTCTTAGAAAGGAGGTTTTGGCCTACTATACCACGCTGGCCAGACGGGTTGGTGTAAGGTTTGTCTAATGTTTTTCTTTAAGTGCTATATCCTGCGTAGTTTGCTCCCTTAGTCGGCTCTTAAGACACCCACAAGATGAACAGAGGAGGTGACACTGCGTATTCCTAATCCGTCACTACATGGATTTTACAAATGTAATGTTTAAAATTTTTAGCTTTTCCACTTTTCCACTTTCTAACCATTGTTTACTGAAATGCTTTTGTGCATTAAAAATTATATTCTATTCTATTCCCCATAAAGTTTATAATTGTTATTCAAACCCATTTACATAGCACTATCAAGAATCAGCTGTTTTGTTTTATTATTACATTTAAGACATAGTAGTGTTTAAGCTTTATTTCGCTGAACTTGACCCCAGTTAAGATTAATTTCTTTCGTCACAAGTTTTAAAAATATCCACACGTGTGGTTCAGACGCTTATGTCTTTTCCTTGTCTGTGTCACACACGGACACTAGTGAGTGGTGTATATATACTATGTGTGTGTTTGTACGTATATTAACAGTAACATGTGACCTCATGAACCGTAAACAGCAGGGCATAAGATCCCAATACGCTCATTGTGAAATAGCCCTGCTTGTGAACTAAAGGGGCGGCTCAACCGGAGTGATGGTGAGTGTTGAGTGACCACGACCTCACAGAAAACCGATGCTAAACAAATAATTATTACACCCCTTAGGGTTCAAAACGGGGGTTGTAAATTTGTATGAAACTTCGTTATTTTCGGTAAAAGCGTTTCGAAACTGACAGTAAATACTCTTTATTAAAAGTAATAAAAAAC